CGTAAAAGGTGTAACCGCTGGTACGGTACCTCAGGATTGTAGAATTCAGGCCAGGCTCTGTTACGTGCGCATAGTTTGCATGTTCTCACCGTGAGCTTCTACTAGGCATAGTCACATCATTTTCTTTCACGGTCTAAAGAGGTGTGGTTTAGGTGACTTGACCCGTGGGCCATTGTGTTGTGAGCTGAGTGTGTGCACGTGCCCTGAGATGGCTGAATAACCAATAATGAGGACTTCATTACGCTAGACGGTCATTAACAGAATAGAGGTCCCATGACACATTTTAATGAAGTGACTCTATACTGTATGTATGCATACTCTGCTTATGTAGCAGATTAGTTCCATGTGCTGGAATGAACCCACTCTCAACCAATCTCCTGGGCAAATTGCATGAACATTGACACAGTCAAAGAATATATGGAAATGACGATGTCCATCTCAATATGATCGGCATCTTGAGCCAACAACTGAAAATTTTCAGAATGTCATCCTTTGCACACTGATTAGCACTTGATGCATTCTTTGAACAGGACTGCTAGATGCCATGTGAAGAGATGTTGAAATGCTTGACTGGAAAATTACTATTGTACAGTCATCATGAAATCTGTTATGTTTTCTGTTAATTTCAGTGCTTTTAAATAGCTACTTGTCCAGCTTTTTGTTACGGCGACACCCATCTTTAATGAATACCAAACACATTTTTATCAGCTTTAAGTAGCCTAACACAGATACATGTTTTGCATCTTGATTGTTCAGCCTGTGTAGCTACTCTAGGTGTTAATTTTGTCATCTGCGACAATTCTTTAATGCAGTTTCCTAAATAAAGTATAACAGTGTAATTGAAATAGTGGTGCAAGTTGCGTCATTTTATCATGCAAGGTGAAAGACTTAGTTGTCACGAGGAGGCACTCAGGAAGCCCAGATCAATTTAAGCAGACGGCAGCATAGAGTGGAAAGCAGCACAGGACAATAAGCTGAGCCGAGCCCTCATTTCCCATGTCAAACTGCTCTCCTGTTATGTAATATGCCACCTCAGCTCTTACATCTGCCCCCCCCCCAAAATAAATAAATAAATAAATAAATAAAAATTCAGCAGTGCAGTTCCCCAGGCCTGGGAATCAGGATTCAGGAGGCATACATAATGAAAGCAGGAGAGGTGAAGGTCCGGAAGAACGCTGCTGTTTAGTACAATACTCTGGGGTGATCCTGAGCAAACACGATGCTGGGAAAGAAAGAGTTTTAAATTAATCTGGACCAAGAGGCCGTGAATGATCTCTCGTCTGAATTCTCTATTTTGACCTGTGGTGAGTTTGCAATCTTATGCCATCAGATGTCACAGTTATGTTATTCATTTAATATCTGTATGTGTAAAATCTGAAGTATTTACTAAGTGGTTTAATAGCAATAACAACAGTAAAAGTAATTAACTTACCACGGTATCCCCAGGGAGAAGTGTGCTGTAAAAGGAGCATGTTTTCTTTGGGTTTGCTGAGGTGAGCATTATTAATATGATATATTACAGGACTGCCTCCTGGAAATTTATGCATGATTTATGTGGCTTATTTCCACCTGTTTGAATACACACCAATGCAGAACTAAGGTTTTTTCCAGCTATTTTCAGTAAGCATTTAAATCTAATTTTTGTGTTCCTGTTTTTAATAATTCTTTAATATCAACAGTTGACAAATTGCTTGTTAGTGTCCTTGAAAGACCTCAGACACTATGCTGTTTCACTGAGGTACCCTTGCCTAGGCAGGAATGACCTGTTCTTCTCTGATAAATGCAGCTTGCATAGTGACATTCCTGGTCGAAGATCTTGTGTCTAGGTCTTACGTGCATTTGGACCCAGAAACATCCTTTCAAAGATTCGTCTATTAACAGAAGCACTTGATTCCTTTCCTGCCTGTCCCATAGGAGAAGATCAGGGCACCAGGGCTTTGAATAATAACCAACTTGTGTTTCTTCTGCCTAATTTTTGTCGAGGTCGTAAACTAGTTGTCCACTTAAATTTAAATAATTGAATTTGGAAAGTATGTTTATTTTCTGGGGGGTAAGGTGGCTTAGAGACAGCATTGTCACCCCCACTTCCTGGGTTGCGGGTTTGAATCCCAAGTGTGGAGTTTGCTCATTCTCCTAATATTTAGTTGTCTGACATATTGCCCCAATAGGTATAACACTTGATCATCAAAGGAAATTGTCCTCTTGGTCGCAACAATGGGAACAAACAGAAATGGGAAAAACTTCCTTTTCCTCACAAGCTTGAAATGAGCTAGACAATATACTTAACCTAGAATCTTTATTCAGTCTAGATAAGTTTTAAAAAAAAATTCATCAGTTGTCACAGAACAATGTAACTGCTTTTAACTTGTATTAATTCCCATGATCTGTTTTTGTATACTGACCTTTGTATACTTGGTACGGTTATTTCTCATGATCCATTGCAGCTCCAGCTCATTCTATGGTTTGTGTTGACTTATTTTTGACTTATCATGTGTTTGTGGTGTTATGTGTTTCCACCCACTTCTATTTTAATGTGAAACCTTTAATCTGAATTTGCTGCCCATATTGACCAGGACTTCCTGGCAGAAGGGACCTTCCTGGTTAAATAAAGGATGGATGGATGGATGGATGGATAGATAGATAGATGATATTACACATGTCATATTTGGGTACTGTGGTTTCCTCTTGTAAGATGTGAAGATGGGCAAATTGAGGTCTATATATTGCCCATAGTGTGTATGCTGTGCCATGGACTGGCATCCTGTGCAGGTATCTCCTGTACGCTGCGCTGTCTGGAATAGCTCCCAGACTCCATTCAAACCTCTCCTAGATGATGCGGTTAGAAGTTAGATGGATGTTGCTTTTTTTTTAGTTCAGTTTATTTTATTTAGCTTTGAACGATCTGTTGGCAAGCAAGGTTTTCTGTGTGTTATACTGAGTGAGGCTTCACTGCATCTTCTTTGGGTGGGATAGCCCTTCTCTTTACAACTGGCTGGATGTAAATGCGACGAGCCAGACTGGTGAGCGACCTCGCATCTGTCAAACGCGAACACAAAACCAAAGGGTTGCATGCTCCCGCTGTGGCAGGATGACACATGTGCAAATAAAGAGTGCTCTGCGAAGGGAGCAGCCATTGGCCGCAACCGGAAAGGACACTGCTAAGCAGGCACTGAGTCGATGTGATCGTGGGCGCTCTCACTGAAGACTGTGTGGGTGGCGACTCCCAAAATCGACAACAAGGGCGGGCTTGCTCCACATGTCGGCAACAATCCACTGCTTGGGTTGGGGATGTGGGGAGGGAGCAGGGTGGTAAACTCTAATGGCCTTTTAGCCTGAGGTAGAAGCTGTGCAGCTGTGGATGGAGGGATAAAAATACCTATTATTCTTCTGTGGCACGTCCGTAGCTTGGCGGAGGCCGCATTTGGGGACAGAAAGGTCATCCCTTGGCCATACAGGCAAATGTCAGGTCAGGTGTTTCAGAGGCCTGGTACACAGCCACAGACTGGAACCCTCCAGAGGTTGTTGTCCGTATGGATTGAGTAACTCACATCCACAATAATCCTCCAAACATTTTCTGCCCGATGCTTTTCCATGACCCTTCGCCCTCCATCCAGTCTTTTCGTAATGCACAGCTATTAGCAGTCATATCAACTGACCACGAATGCTAAACCCAACTGCTGTTAACTGCAATCTACAGATCTTCATCTGTAATTTGTACTATTATGAGCAAAATAACTTCCAGGGGTATTACTGGATCTCCATTATTCTCCATTATTGATGGTCTTGGGTTGTAATATTTTAATTTCTTCTGGGATATTACCAGGCAAAGCACTGTGGGATCCTTTCAGCGAATTTGCCATACATACACTAAAAAAATGTGACTGACTGATTGATTGATTGATTGATTAAGGGCAGTAAGTGGCAGGAACTGCAATCCACCACATTCAATATCCATTTGTGATGGAAGTCCCCTTTTCACCTACACGAAAGAAATGACGCAGGGAGGGAAAAATATCTTCCATTTCGGGATTGAGTTGCAGCTCCCTTTCAATAACACAAAGGCAGGCACTGCCTCTGCTTGACACGGCTCATGAATAAATAAAGCTGTGATATAACTGCAAGCCACTTCACAGTCGGCTGCAGCTCGTTAGTAACCAACTCGCAAATGATGACCCAGGAAAGGAGGGAGGAAGTGATTATGTCGCGCTTAGTAGCCTGTTGAGCAGTTGAGTTAGTAAGTACCGTATACTGCGGGTTAGCGGTCAGCGGTTGCTATTGCACGTCCGTCCTTTGACCTGTAGGGGGTGGTACAGCAGCACCTAAAGGAACCGCTAGGGCCACCGCTACAGTCGGACTTTGAGAGTCATAATTAAAATCGATCATTTCGGGATCGTTTGCTTTTTAAAGATTTTTATACACTAGAGACACTAAAAGAGGCTTTGCATTTTTAAGAACACCTCTTTGCCTTATCCCAGCCCACTGTATGCTGCGCATTGCTTGCGGTAATAAATGAATGCTAAATGCCTGTTGGGCTTTTTATGCCTGGATATGGAAGGTTTCACCACGGCGGGGGTAATTATTAGTTTGTAGACGTTAACGTTACCAACTTCGCTGAAACTGAAAGAAGCAGCGGTTCGGAATGCCGGTTTCACTGGCTTTGAAAACGTGCTATTGCTCAACTGTTGAACCAGTCGCCTTTGGTGTCCTTTTAAATGTTATGTCTGTGAATGTTGTTTTTGCTCATTATTGCGTGTTCGCTGTGGTTTGTCGATTATTTGAGTATGTGTCCGCGTGCGCGTACGTTACGAGTGAGACTGTGTGCGTGTATGTGAGCGCGCGAGGCATACTACTGTGTGCGTTTTGTTTTGCATAGCCTTGTCACATTTTGTGTGTGTTGGTGCATTTGCTCGTTTGTATGCGCCGACGTGTGCACACAGGACAGGCTAGGTGTGAGACTCTCTTAGTGTTCTTGGGTGTGTGCTCCTATAGATAGGTTTTTATCTATTTTAAAATTCTAAATGATACCATGGCGGTTTGCTTTCGGAAGATGGTGCATAGGTCAGTCAATATGCACATCTTCTGTGACATGGCAGGGTGACAGAAACATGGAAAGCTGTTTATGAGGCGCGGGGGCGCTTTGCGGCTTGTTTTTCCGTTCAAGCCACCATCTGGTGTGCCGCTATAGAGTAACTCGGTGGTGTTGATGGAGCCCAGCTTACGGTAGCTACTGTCAGCTGTCAGGTCAGGCTGCACCACCGAACAGTCTACATCGGATGGCACCAGCCAGGGTTAATTTTGTCTTTACATTTCACCTGTAAAATGCGCTGAATATAAAAACTTAAGGCTTCAACAATGATTACATGTTAAGAATAGCAGTAGATTAATGGTCCGAGGAAAATATTGATTAAACAAATGTGGTAAAAGCTGAAATTTCTGTGTACAGCGTTATTTTTGGCGCTATACGTTTTTGCATTTTATCTAAGGATCAGTTCAGTTTGGACTGCTGATTGCTGGTGTTGTGAGGAAAAATCAGCCAATCAGCTGATTGATTTGTACTTGTGGGACACACTGCAGATGATAAGGGGTGATCTTACGTATGCTTTGTCAGCTAATTAATTAAAAAGGAGCCCTCTATGTTGTGCATGCCAGCACTGCAGAGAGAAGTGCGAGAATGGTTATTAATAGTTATTAATCAATTATTAATGGTTAACCAAATTCTTGATAGTTTTGTTCAGATCTGAATATTAATAGGCTGAAGCAAGTTTTTATTTTTTTCTTCTTTTTTTTTCTTCCAGAATTTATGCACCTAGTCTTCATGGTAGGAGCAAATGCTTCATTTGATCCAGACATTTGATTTTTTGCTAATGACAAAAAGACGCATGTTATGTCAGGAGTTAGTGGTGCTTACTGGCCTTATGACCATTTTTTAACCTGTCTTTTTTGTCCTATTTTCTTGCAGCTGAGGAACGTGGTTCTTGTCCTGCCAGCACCAGGAGTACCACCACACCATGCAGAACACTTCCTGTATATAGAAGGACAGGAGTAGAACCCTTAACCCAGAGGTTGCAACATTTAGCCAGGAGACGTGACACAGATTACTGGTGAGTTTGGAGAGGGTTCGAGAGTACAGTCGCTGCTGATGGTGTGCTTGAGATGAGCTGCCTGTTTGAGAGGCTTGGCTTAGCTTTCTTGGTGATTTCTGACTGCCTGGTTCTCTGTGGTGCCGACAAACAATGTAGTTTTGGTCAGTGAAGGACATGGTTTGGTGCCTGAGATGCCCCCCTGACTCCTGTCCCTCCCCCCACTCCCACCCCAAGGGTACAGCTGAGTGACACGACCTTGGTGCTGCCCCATTGTCGTGTTAGCTGGATCAATAATGTCCATGTTTACAGCCCCTAAGGGACACGCTCGTCTTTGGTGGAGAGTTCGGGTGACGTGTCTGTGCCACCCTTTGACCCCGCAGCTGCCCTATTCAGCTTGGCCATTGACTTCATTTTAAATTCCTTGACTTTCCCCCTGTTCAGTCTACAAACTGCCTTGTTTGCAGCAGTAAACTACAACAGGCAACCATTTCTGGTTCTCAGGAGCTTTGAAATGGATTTGGTTTTTGCAACGTTCCTTATTAACTTAAGGACTTAGAGTAGTTCTTGCCTGTTTCCCTGTATTTGATTAGGAAAGCAAACCTGAAATGAACCTAAATTGTTCTGTCCTTTTAGGATTTGATGCTGCTTCAATGCTATTCTATATAATTTTAAATAAAAAATCAGAAATAAGAAACAGTGCCACATCCCTTGTGCTGTCTGCTGATTGCTAGGAGAGATCCAGAAGTGTATTCCAGCTCTCGTATTAATATGCAAGATTACTTTTCCGAGACAGGGACCTTTGGGGAGGGGAGAGGGGTCGGTTGATAGTGTTGCTACCTGTGGTAGCACAACAACATTTTAGGCAGGAAGTGCAGGGTTGCTGTGACAACGGCGATTATAGGTTTGATCTCCTGGGGGGTTCAATATAAATTGGAGATTAAACTGCGTAAACAATACTCCTGTCAAACGTGTTTTGTTTTGTGTGTATAAAAGAGAGCCTATTGTTATATCGTGCATGAAACTTGCCAGCTTAGACCAGATGGTTATTAGATTTAAAATGCGATGCTCGTGTTACCGATTGCCATGTTAGTGATCCTCAGAGGCAGCGTTCTGGAGAGGGTGACATGATCACTTCACACTGCCAGGGTTTGGAGATTATATGTTCTCCCCATGTTCTCATCTTCTCCCAGGTGCTGCTGGGATGGGCTCTGGGCTTGTTGTAACTGTTTCAGGATACTGGGAAAGCAATTAGGGAAATTGGATGGTGTTCTGGATTATGCATTTTGTACAGTTTGATGTAGGGACTGTTCGAAAGAGGAGCAGGGGGGTACTGAGGATTAAATAAATTAAGGTCGAGATGTATGTTATGTCCTTGGTAATGTTCAGCTTGTTGCTGTATAGCAGTGATTTAGTACAGTACAGTATTGACATAAAGCAGTGAGGCTTTGTGGCTTTGAAGCCCAGTTTGCCTTTTCGCATCAGGCACTGCCCCTGGCCAGCTCTCTAAATTGTGACAGGACCCTACCTCTGTGATGCTTCTTTATCAAGCAGAAGATCAGCATGGTATCATGCTACTGTTGTGTTTCATTATAGTGTTCTGTATTGCCACTGGTGCAAATTGTGTTATAAGCCATCTGGTCCTCTTACTGTTGCTGTTAATACTTTCCTACTTTTTTGTAAAGTAGTTCATGGTCTTGGAAGTCGCTCGCATCTGAAGCCCTCGAACATGCACATCCCCACCTGCCTCGCCTGAGTAAACATGTAGCAGCGGTTTGGATGTATTCTGTATTCCCATAAGCAAATGTTAGTCTCAGCCAGATCTTCAAATAATCTGCAAATAATGCGAATTCCAGTGGGGTGCTTCTCATGGAAGAGGGTGCTTTTTTTCCCCCTCTACCCTCCCACTATGCCAAATGTACTTTGTACACTTGCTGAGGAACTAGGCCAATCTGAACAAATTTGTGGAGGCACTAACTTTAGCTGTGAGTTAACCGACCCCTTCGGGCGACCGTTCGTGCAATTTCTAACCCCCCATGGGAATGTGAGGAGGGGCTGGGGGGGTGTGCCATGGCAGAGGCTGGGTGAGAGGCTTTGTTTTGTTTTTCTGAAGTGTTACCATGCCTGTACCCACCTTAGTTTGCTTAGAGAACAGGAACTGAGATTTGTGGGTCCATCCATGTTTCGTGTATTTAAGGAAATAGCTTGTATCTGCCGTTTTTCACCCTCTAGATAGTGATGAACACTGGGAGCTGATACAGCACAAGAGTAACGGTAACGGACCTATGGTGAAGCTGATTTAAAAAAAATAATAACGAAGACTGACTCCTTTGAAGGAGCCCTGGCCACACGTAAAGGTGCTTGTGTTTCTGTGTGGCTCAGCACCCTGTCTTTGCTCCCAGGATCAGCTCTGATTGCACCCCGCCTTGCCCATCATGTCCCTAAAACAGAGCTGCAGTGTAGAAGTGCTGTGATACTTACATTTGTCGTGAATACTTTGTTTCTCATTTATAATTGATGTGCCTGTAGAGAGGTGAGTTTTCTCACTCGGGCATGTTATGGAAAGTGCCTGAGGCCATTATTTTGGTGGTTATTGCAGAGTCATTTGTGTGCATGCGCCTAAAGTACTGGAAAATACCATCCCACCATCCATCTTCTATCCACCAACCATGGTCCAGGGCTGCAGGGGCGGCCTGCAGCTTGGAGCACCCTGGGTGGGATGACAGCCTATCACAGGACATGCATTCTCTCATGCACTGCAGGTAACTCAGAGATGGCAAGTTGCTGAACTGCAGGTTTTTCGGCTGTGGGAGGAAACCCAGGTATCTGGAAGAAAGCTGCATGACACGGGGAGAACAAGCAAACTGCACAGACAGACACACACACACCAGAGGTGGGATTCAAACACCCAGCCCTGGAGCTATGTGGTGACAGTGCTGTCCACTGAGCCACTATGCTGCCATCTCAGAAATACTGTAAAATCTGTTTAATATGATAATCTTGGGTTACCACTCTACATAGCTGGCCAGCAGTTGTTGGGATGGGTTGTAGGGGTGAACAGGGGTGCTGGAGGGGAATGGATACCCAAATTCAAGGGGACCTAGCACTATTGGCCGCCCGGTTGGCAAAATCTAACATTTTGTGCGAGGGCTCAGAATTTTAGCTATGCCCCCTGCTGGTGAAGCTAACCAATAACCAATCAATAATTACTTCCTGGAGAATTTGAGAAGTAAGTGGCCCTTCTCCTCAGTCAGTCCCTCCCCCCACATCCTCTCCAAAGCGAAGAACAAGAATGTGCTCTGAACTACCATGACCTCACTCCAGTCTCATTAGTAGTAGGGCTGTGTATTGGCAAGGGCCTCACGATACGATACGTATCACGATACATGGGTCACGATACGATATATCGCGATATATTGCGATACAATACATATTGTGATATATTGCAATAGTTTGTATTAGTATATGTGTGTCACATTATATTGACAACTTGATAAAGTAGGCAGACGAATTAAAATTCCAATTCCAATTTATTTTCCATCCATTCCAATTCCAAGTTAGAACGGCACAGTGTGATTGAAGTCCATATTGTTATTAAACACTTAACTTA